AGCACCCCTAGTTCCAGCACCTCTGGATGCACCCTGTGTGCAGCCCAGGGGGGTAGTCCTGCTCTCTGCTGGGTTTTAAGGGTGCGGTTTTCAAGCCTAACTATTCCCACCAAAGTCACTGGTAAAACTCCTTGTGATTTTAATGAGTGCAGACCCAGCTCAACGCCAGGCACTTCTGAAAATCCCTCCCTTGTCTGGAACTGCCAGGTGTCAGGATCCCGATGTCCCTGCACGCATACTTCTGCCCATGTCATAGCAGGGGGCAAAGGCAATGTGAAGCTGCCTAAGGGATAGGACATAATACTGCAGACAATGCAATGCCGGTACATAAACCAGCCATGCCCCTGCCTCTGGGATAGTGTTATCTTGAAAAAGATAGAGCAGAAAGAACAGCGTACTGAGATGGTAACAAAAACAGTGGGGGCATAGAAAGACTGCTCTGTGAGAAGAGGCTGAAAAGATGGGACAGTTTAGCGAGGAGTTAAATAAGAGGGAATATAATCGAGATATGCAAAAATATTAACAATAAGAAGGCAAGTCAGGGCCTTCTTTGTAGTAAGTAACACAAGAACAAAGGAACATTCAATGGAGTTGAAATACAATACATTTAAAATTATAAAAGGAAATAATTATGCTTTGTGAAAACCTGTGGAACTCATTGCCACAAAGTATTGCTGAGACCAAGAGCTTAGAGGAATTCAAAGAATTAGACACATGGCTAAGGAGCTCATACGCAGTTACAGTAGAACCTCAGACTTACAAACTGACCAGTTCGTACCTCGTTTGGAACCAGAAGTAAGCAATCAGGCAGCAGCAGAGACAACAACAAAAAAGCAAATACAGTACAGTACTGTGTTAAATGTAAATTACTAAAAATATAAAGGGAAAGCAGCATTTTTCTTCTGCATAGTAAATATTCAAAGCTGTATGAAGACAATGATCATTTGTTAACCTTTGAAAGAACAAGCATAATGTTTTGTTCAGGGTTACGAACAACCTCCATTCAAGTATAGGACTTTTCAGCCATAGATCTCAAAGCAGGTCAATATCATTACCCAAATTTTACAGTTGGGGAAACTCAGGTAAGGAGATTGACGTGACATGAGGGATATAAGCCCTCATGTTTCAAGGCATAAGCAGGTCACTAACTGATTGGGTTATCATGAAACTCCACTCAAGAGAAGGTTATTCCCGAATTGGCTACTGCTGGCTTCCTTGCACTTTTCTCTGAAGTATGTGTTACTGGACTAGATGTCCCACTGACTCTGGGGTGACATTTCAGATGTTCTTGTTTACCTCTGTGTTCTTGAGGGGGCCATTTAGGGATCTGGGGCAAAAATCTGTCTGGGGATTGGTCCTGCTTTGAGCAGGGGGTTGGACTAGATGACCTCCTGAGGTCCCTTCCAACCCTGATATTCTGTGATTCCTGCTCAGGGGCCTGCAGGGAAACTCTGCTGTGTCAGTTAGCAGCTGGTGAACAATTTGCCCCCCAAACTCCCACATACTTCCTGGAGCAGGGGGGCGTGCCCCAGAGTTTGGGGACCACTGTCCTAGCCCTTGCGTGTGCTGTCAATAATTTCCACTAAATACAACGTTGGGACAAATTGCAGGGGCAGGCGTGGGTGTTTGACAATAGCATAGGAACGGAGGTGGATAGGTTTCCTCTCAATACTGTAGGGTAACACCTGCCTGGAGAACGGATCTTTCCTGCTTAACTACGTGGGGTGTGTGGAGTGCAACAAGAGGGACTTTGTGCTGATCGCAAACAGAGCAACGGAGGAGGAGGATGGAGAAGAAATCATCACTTATGACCGTAAGGAGTTTCCCTTGTTTGTCCCCTCCATTGAGTGTGCATGGAGCCACAGGCTCATGTTTGATTATTATTATACACCGCTACCTCGATATAACGCGACCCGATATAACACGAATTTGGATATAACGCGGTAAAGCAGTGCTCCGGGGTGGCGGGGCTGCGCACTCCGGTGGATCAAAGCAAGTTCGATATAACGCGGTTTCACCTATAACGCGGTAAGATTTTTTGGCTCCCGAGGACAGCGTTCTATCGAGGTAGAGGTGAACCTGTTGTGGGGAGGGATAGAGTTTAGTACTTGACTTGAAAAAGTTCCCAGACATCTCTTAGCCAGAGGGTAGTAGGAAAGATGGCTGGGGCTCCCTAAAGAGATCTAAGGCAGTGACCCAGGTCCCCAGCTGTGGGGAAGGAGAAGGTTGCTGAAATTTTTACTTTGCTGCTATCCTGTGACCTTCCTCATGAGTGCCACTTTCACATAAGTCCCTGGCTGGAAAGTGTCTAAGGCCTTGTCTACCCACAAAAGTTACACGGTTTAAATTATCCCAGTGGGGTTCCTTTACCAGTCGCTGGGGGTTAAAGCCAGACAAATTCAAAATTACCAATAAGGCCCACGTTTCTAACCATGCCCATCGGAGGAGCCAAGAGAAGGGGTCACTGCTACCTCTCAAAGGCTTCAGATCCAGACTGGAGGCCTTTTGGGAAGATCTGCTTTAGCCAAACGCAAGTTACTGGGCTCAGTCCAGAGAGAACTGAGTGAAATTCTCTGTCCTGGGCTATACAGGAGGTCAGATGAGATGATCTAATGGTCCCACCTGGCCTTAAGCTAGGAATCTATGAATATGGCACAACCCCCTAGCGTGGATGCAGATATACCAGTACAAAGGTGTTTATACCAGTATACAGCATCTCTCCGGGAAGGAGAAGGATCTATTCAGGTATAACTGTCTACATGAGGGGTTGTATCAGTATAACTATGTTGGTTTAAAAGAAATCACATCCCCTAGCCAACCTAGTTACAGCAGTACCAAAACTGTGTGGTATGGCTACAGCTAGGTAAGCATGTGCCTAACTGTTCTCAGAATCCGGGCCTGAGGCTGGAGCTCCCCTCCCTACTCCAGTGCCGGAGGAGTGTCTGCTGCTGAACGCTCCCCCCTCACCCCCCAACCTCTCCGCTGCGCTGCTGAGACAGGGCTGGTGTCCAGAATCTCTCCCCTGCCTCTGTGTGTGTGTCATCCTCACCTGTGATTAGCTTCAGTGCCTGCCTCTGCTGCTGCCCACTGCCCCCAAGAAGCCCTGCCTGAAACGCTTCACTGATACTCACAGTGTTGTGACCAGCCACTGTGAAACTGACCAGAGTCTTATGAATGTCAATCTACTGCTGCTCACAGCAGCAGAGGAACTGGAGCTAACTGGCCTGCAAACTCAGGGAAGCAGCTCTGTATCTGGTCACGTGTTGCAACCATGCCAGGTTAATGTTTTGTTTTGAGAGCCTAAATTCTCCAGCAATTGATAGCTTAGCTCTCCCTAATCACCGGAGTAAACCTCCTGCTTGCCACGTGTGCGTTGATTTTTTTTTTTAAGTCGGGGAAAATGTGAGGAAAGAGGACTGAAGGGATGTGGAGAGAATGGGGTTGTGTTTGATTGTCAGTATCACTGTCTCTTTTAAAATGCAGAAAGAGTTCTCAGCTTGGCATTTATTCGTGTATGTTCCATTTGCACTCTTTGGAGTGAACGGATAATTTCCATCTGCATTGGTGCTCGTGGAAGGGTCTAGATTGACCCCCCTGGATTCTAAAATCCAGCGACAGTCCAGACTTCTCCCTCATCCCCTGCCTGGCCCCCGACCACCAGGGAACCATCTGCAGGGCTACAAGAATCATTTGCCCTGGCCCCTTCGGCGCCTTGGCCTCCCTGCTGAGACTGAAGTGCAGGTGGCTTTTGCAACGTGGGAGCTTATCTTATGCCCCTCAACTCATTTCACAGAGGCCTACAATTAGCCACAAGCTGGAAACAATTTCTGCAGGATTTAAACGGCCAAGTTAATGACTTTGGTGGCGCTCCAGCCAATTGCAGGGTCAGAGCCGGAGTTGCGCTCGAGCGTGAATAGATTAAATAAATGTGCTTTGTAGGTTGACACAGGAGCTGAGTTGGGAATGGTTAAAGGTGGCATGTTTCCATTAGTCCCCTGAGTTTATACAGGTTTCCCCAGTGATTACAGTTTGTGGTGTAGAGGACCCAAAGAGCGTGCTGCTTCGGGGAATATCAGGGAGTGAAAGGTCTCCTTTTCTGTTCAATGCCCAGGCTCCGGTGGTTAGAAAAGTTGACTACTTTTGAACTATTTGCCCTGCTCCCAGCCAAAAATGGCCCTGGCCCGTACAGCGAAGGTGAAACCTTATGTAGTAAAACAAATTCTCCAGGCATTTGTGGGGCTGCGAAATACAAATTTTTGAATTGCTTTGGTGAATCCACAAAATGTATTGGAAAACTGGGGGGGATCTAGCCAGGGGGGATCCAAAGATATTTGGCTGCCTTCTTGGACCAGGAGGGCTTTTTTGTCACTGACTCAGGATAGCATGTCCTTGATCTCAGATCAGTGCGATTCCCCGCCCCCAGGTTGTGGAAAGTGAGGTCTCCCTCCAAGTAGGCGATCCTTGTGAATCTCTGGTTTTCGTTCCAGATGTGTGTAAGAACTGTCATCACATGATAGCCAGGCACGAATATACATTCAGCGTGGTGGACGATTACCAGGTATGTTGTCTTACATGCTGTCACGGAGCCCCAGGATCAGTGCTACGGCCATAGGTGCCGACTCCGTGGGTGCTCCGGGGCTGGAGCAGCCACGGGGAAAAATCGGTGGGTGCCGCCCCAGCTCACCTCCGCTCCACCTCCTCCCCTGAGCGCACCATGGCCCTGCTTCTCCCCCAAGCTCCCAGCGCTTGCGCCGCGAAACAGTTGTTTCATGGGCAGCAAGCGCTGGGAGGGAGGAGGGGGAACGCAGCCCGCTCTGGGAAGGGCTGGGGCGGGGATTTGGGGAAGGAGTCCAATAGGGGCAGGGAGGGGGCGGAGTTGGGGTGGGGACTTTGGGGAAGGGGTTGGAATGGGGGCAGGGCAGGGCAGGGCCGGGGGCCAGCACCCACCGGCCCCGGGAAAAGTTGGCACCTATGGCTACGCCCCCAGCTTTGGAACCAGCCCTTCAGCGTGCTGGACCCCCAGGGGGTCTCACTCTTCCTGCAGCGCGGGCCAGCCGGCTTCACTGCCTCCTTTGGCTGCACCTTTGCAGCTCCAGCCCTCCTGCTTCACACCCTGAGCTCTGCCCAGCAAGTCCAACTGAGCCAGAGCCTTGGGAGAGACTTGTCCCCGCTTCAGGGACCATGCACCTCCGCAGTATTTGCGGTGACACTCAGTGTTAAAACAGCCGGGTTCAGCAGTCAGCTGTTACACAGCACAGGAGGGCCGTAGGTGAGCACAGAGAAATGAAGGTTAAAGCATGGCCCAAGTCCGTCCTGCTCCGCCCAAAGCCCAGCCAAGCTGTGGGGAACACCTCTGTTCAGGCTCTGTCTCAGTCTGACCTCCGTGGTCAGTTCCCAGGTGAGAGCCCCGACTCCTTCCCACAGCCAACTCCTAACCCCACCTTCCCAGCCCTTTGTTCTCCAGCTGGGGGGTTTGCTCAGCCTCGCTGCTGAGAGGTGGGAGAATCCATTCCCCGCTGGGGCACAGGCTGCTAGGTGTCCGTGTCCTGGTGGTTGGCTTTCCCATTGTCGTCTTGGATTCTTCATTGATATGGGGTGAGCCTCAGCCAGTCCTTTTTAACGACCCATTCAGGCTCAGACAGCTAGATGCCATTCATGCCTCTGTCTCTTAAGCCTGCCCTGAGAGCAAACAGTCCTTTTTCCCGACTGGATTGCCATGCAAAATGTAGGGGAAACTGAGGCACGCATAGGGGGCATAAAAACGTCACCAAAAATTCCACTTCATCACACGTGCACATACACAGATCACAAATACGCACTCCTTTATTCCTTCATACGAACGCCCCAAGACTTGGAAAGCCCTGGGAGTGCTGTCACGGAAGCACAAGGAACCCCAGGACCACAGCGGCCGGAGTAGAAAGTTCTGCTCTGTGGGTTTCCATCTGGAGGTGCTCTTGGGTTCTGCAGGCTACTGTTGCCACAGTACGTGTGGGATTGTGTCCTGGACAGCTCGTCTGCTACTTCAGCTAGGGGAGGGATTCAAGTCACCGCCCAACCCGCTGTGCTTTTCTAGGGCCAGCTTCACTGTAAAACGTGGCTTGACTTCCCAGCTGTGGATTCCAAGCTGCCACAGCCTCACTTCCACCGACTGGGCGTAGTGCCCGAGGTAGGTGACGGGTGCATCCCGCTGATTAGCGTCTCTCCAGCTCCCAACACTTTGGGCCGATCTGACACCGTCGGATCAGGCAAGGGGACGTCCATGCAACACGAGGGTTGGGATTCTGTGTGCACAAGCGGAGCCTGGCTCCCGTGCATGGATGTAGCATTTAGCCCCTTAGTTCTCAAACTTTTGCATTGGTGACCCCTTTCACACAGCAGGCCTCTGAGTGCGACCCCCCCATCAATTACAAACACTTTTTATATTTAACACTATTATAAATGCTGGAGGCGAAGTGGTGTTTAAAGGGGTGGAGACTGACAGCTCATGACCCTCCATGTAACAACCTCACGACCCATTGACGGGTCCCGACGCCCAGTTTGAGAACCCCTCATTTAGCATGATTGCCTACAGCTCTAGCTTTAGGTTGGCATTTTGGAAAGCACCTCGACTTAGGAGCACAAGTCAATGGGGTTTGGGAGGGGGTAATTTTCAAAAGCACTTCCCATTGACTTTTAATAGGACTTGGGGTTCTAACTCCCTTAGGTTCTGTAGAGAATTCCAGCCTGAGTGCTTTAGGACCCGATGCCGTGGGCTGCAGGGCTGAGTACCTTCCACCCCACATGCAGCTCTGAGGGTGCGCAGGACCCTGCTGAATCAGCATTTTAAAGCAGACACACAGCAAGGCCATGGGACAATTGCTGGAAGAACCACAGCTGTTAATTTCTTCTGCACAGGAAGGTCCACAAGGCTCTTCAGCCCCGGTCCAGCCTAGGAGGTAGACCCAGGCCCCCGAGCCTCTGGCAGGATGGGTGTGGCCCGACCCCTGACCTTGCTAGTTGTGTTCTCCCTCTACCTCGGCAGCTGGGTTTTATCAGACCTGCCTGCAGAGCCGTAGGTGAGATGACAAGGCCGGTGGAAGCAGATGGGGAGGAGGGGGTAGTGGAGGAGGGGAGTTCTCTGGCAGACACTGGATCTCACCTTGACAGTCAGCACGGCTTCAGAGCAACAAAGGGAGCCAGATTACAGAGTTTTGCGATGGATTGGCTTGAAAGACCAGCGTTGGGCATAGTCCACCAACCAGAGCTGCGGGACAATTCCGAGACGCTCTGAGATGCATTAGCCGCACCTTCAAGCTGCCCTCTCAGGGGGGCAAAGCAGGGGAGGGCCGATGGAGCTGCTCTGGGTCTGAGGTTCCTAAACCGATGCCTCCGCAAGCTGAAGTTTACTGCCTTTCTGTTCCAAACCTGCAGTTGCCGGAGTGTGCTCCCATGCCGGGTGTCATTTGCTCTTTGTAACCACCAGAGGGGGCTAGCGGGCTTGGAGGGGCGTGTTTTCAGTGGCCGCCCCCTGGAGGCTGCTGACTTTCAATAGATCGCAGCGAGGTAGCTGCTCTGCTACGCACGAAACCTGACCCAGAATCAGGTCGTCTACGAATGATTTAGCACCAGGTTCCCCACGAACATGCGGTGCGCAACGGGTGAGAGGCGGCTCCCTTCTGTCCGCACTCCGGTCCCGACACGAATGGCTCTCCTCACCGAGCCCTACCCCCCGG